AAAAATTAAACAAATTTTTTCAGTGTGTCCCACTGTTGCCCAGTACCAAATGACCTGGGGTTGGGGACCACTGAACTATGCAATCTTCCAGTTACAACTGGCCCTTCAAGGGGAACTGTTTTGCCGATGTGGCCCCCTGTGAAAATGAGTTTGACACCTCTGGTCTAGGTTTTCATTATCCTCCCAAAAAAGCTTGGTTACGCTAACTGTAGTCAACCCTCTGCCTCGCTTCTCACTTGGAGCTGTGCGTCTTTTGAGCTGCAACACTGCCACCTAGTGTGGTTTCATTAAAGTTTAATCTTCATAATCACGTTACTTGGTGATACAAGGATAAAAGTGGTCGTCTTTACTCAGTAACTCGTTCTTTCAGCTATTTTTTTTTTTGTCCCTTATCTCCTCTTTTCTTTCGGGCTTTTGAGCTGCTCCCTCCGCCGCCCCCCAGCCTCGCCCCGTCTCCTCCCCCCGTCTCCTCTCTAAGTGCCACATCACTGTTAAGAAAACACAGTGTGATTTATGCAGCTCTAAGGGGGTTTGGAACAAAGTGTCACCACTTGTCTATTAATCATCCCCGGGACTGCATTAAGCAATAAGCCATTTAGCGCTAACCGTTCAGACGTCACACACTCTCGCTTTTATAAAATATCAGTTTTGTGTTTACACAACCATCCGTCTTTTTCCGTTGCGGCGTTTTTTTTTAAAGCCGGCGCTTGTTTAGCTTTCCCGGGCCTCTCTGCGCCTATTTATTCTCTCCTCTCAGCGCTTCGCATGGCGGACTGTTTACCTCATGTTGGATCATAAAAATTCTTGTCGGAGGAATGATGTGCTTTTCAACCCCAAACGGCACGCAGGGAGGCAGAGTGAGAATTAATATCCCCAGGCAGCGGCGCAGTATTAGATCAGAGTCTCGGGCCGCTGTGTTCCCGAGTTCAAATATTTGGACAAGGAGCTCGGGTCTTTCTTTTTTTTTTTCCCCTTTCAAAGCAAAAATATTGAGACAAAGACATTAAACTTGCCGCAAGTGCTGAAATCTGGTTGACCGCCCTTCGGTGACGTAGTCGGAAAGACCTATGTACGATATCCAAAAAGCTCAGGTTGTTAGCGTTAGCTCTGATGTCTGTATCAGGACTGTCGTTGCTAACGTTAGCTCTGGTGTCTGTACCAGGGCTGTTGTTGCTAACGTTAGCTCTGGTTTCTGTACCAGGACTGTTGAAGCTAATGTTAGCTCTGGTGTCTGTACCAGGACTGTGGTTGCTAACGATAGCTCTGGTGTCTGTACCAGGACTGTTGAAGCTAATGTTAGCTCTGGTGTCTGTACCAGGACTGTTGTCGCTAACGTTAGCTCTGGTGTCTGTACTAGGACTGTTGTTCCTAACGTTAGCTCCGGTGTCTGTACCAGGACTGTTGTTGCAAACGTTAGCTCTGGTGTCTGTACCAGGACTGTGGTTGCTAACGATAGCTCTGGTGTCTGTACCAGGACTGTTGTAGCTAACGTTAGCTCTGGTGTCTGTACCAGGACTGTGGTTGCTAACGATAGCTCTGGTGTCTGTACCAGGACTGTGGTTGCTAACGATAGCTCTGGTGTCTGTACCAGGACTGTGGTTGCTAACGATAGCTCTGGTGTCTGTACCAGGACTGTGGTTGCTAACGATAGCTCTGGTGTCTGTACCAGGACTGTTGTAGCTAACGTTAGCTCTGGTGTCTGTACTAGGACTGTTGTTCCTAACGTTAGCTCCGGTGTCTGTACCAGGACTGTTGTTGCAAACGTTAGCTCTGGTGTCTGTACCAGGGCTGTTGTTGCTAACGTTAGCTCTGGTGTCTGTACTAGGACTGTTGTTGCTAACGTTAGCTCTGGTGTCTGTACCAGGACTGTTGTTGCTAACGTTAGCTCTGGTGTCTGTACCAGGACTGTTGTCGCTAACGTTAGCTCTGGTATCTGTACTAGGACTGTTGTTCCTAACGTTAGCTCCGGTGTCTGTACCAGGACTGTTGTTGCAAACGTTAGCTCTGGTGTCTGTACCAGGACTGTTGTAGCTATCGTTAGCTGAAATCTGGTTGCACTGGGGCATTTTTATTTTTATAGTCTTTGTAAAGATTGAAAAAAAACCCACAGAAAGTATGCGACTGATGTCGTTGTACGTACTGTGAACTTCACAGCAGCGGAGGAAGTTAGGATTGTTCTACTTTTCTCTGAATTCTTTGTACTGCTAAAAGTACTGTTGCTAACACGACAAGTCGTTTCCTTCGCTTGGGCCATAGGGAGTTTCCATGTCCTCCCTGTGCGTCTCTGCTGTGTCCAGACCACGTGTCCAGATTGTGACCTCGTCTTCGTCCTCATCCAATGACTGCTAGGATTGGGTTCGATCACACAATCAACGTCTTTACAAAAATATACCGCGTATCCAGAGAACGTTGGTGTGTCATCGAGGAAAGGTAGAGAAAAATGTAGTTTTACTACAACCGCGAGGTTGTGGAAGTTCACCTGGTATTTGACAAGTTCCACTTTCCCTCTCGTACCAGCGAAGGATTCGGTCCTGAACTCCTGGTCTCCCACGAAGCTGGCGGCGTGTTTGTACTAACGTGTCTGATGTAAGATGTCGGAGGGAGTTTCACTTTTTACTGCGCGTTCATTCCTGGAATTGAACCGAGCCCCAGTGGACTCGGAGTGTTTGTCCCGCATGGTCCGGGTCAGGAGTATCAGAGGATTTCACATACTATCACAGTAATTTTCAGAACTCTTTTCCCTGCCGCGTGTGAACTGTTTTTTTTAGTTTTTGTAAGTTGGAACGAAGAACGAATTTCATTGGAAGATTTGCCTAAAATATTTAGACTAGGGTTCGCCAACGTGGTATCCGGGGTCACCTGGTGGCCTACGTGGTATCCGGGGGCACCTGGTGGCCTACGTGGTATCCGGGGGCACCTGGTAGCCTACGTGGTACTTACTAAAAATAAAACGTCATCAACAAGAGGGTCAACAATGGTACCGTTACTGTGCTGTTTGAATCAGTTCCATTTGTAATGATATTCAAATGAGTGGAATAACGATGGTAAGAAGAGCGCCTACTACTGGATGATTCTTACTACGTTGATCAGGAAGTCTGTATCAAACACGTATCCTTGTTTTTTGACCCCTGATTTAGGGTATAATTTCTTTGAGTGATACGACTTGATACAACATATACCGTACGCGGCCTCGGTCGTTAGTATTCGGTGTACTGTAGTATTCTGTGTACTGTAGTATTCTGTGTACTGTAGTATTCTTTGCGCCGTTCACATTGAAGACCAGAAGTTCCGTCATTGTTTCAACTTATCGGATCGTGTGACTCGTGACTGGACGGGAGGGTTGAGTTGAGCTCACAGGAGCCGTAGAACTCATGACCTGGACGAATAGGAATCCTCCGAGACTCTGGCTGTGCCGTCCCGTTCGTCCGGCTTCTATCGCAGACGCACAGGCCGCATTCTTCGACCGTGTTGCTGTATCTGTTATCTCCCGCTTATCGGCGTGAAAACGTACAGAGCAGCCCTGAACGCGCTGATGCTGAACACGCCGATGCCCCCCCCCTGAGTTGGAAAACACTTAACCTCACTGCACTCCAACAGTACCTTATCTGAAGAACTCCACTCTGTACCAAAACAAAACTCCCGCGGTTTAACGATTTGACATCCAGCTCGTGACCTTCCGACCTCTCCGGTGCTTCCAGACATGAGGCGATTTCGGGTCAAACGATGGACATAAAGAAATATCGTGTTATTGCTTCAGTTGTTATTGCTTCAGTAGTTTTTGTCTCAGATCGGATGTGAGTGAAAAGGGAAACTGGTCATTCTGGACTGATTTCTTGGAGGACGGGAACGTTTGGTTCTGATTAAATGTTAAAAATGTTGCTGTTGCCAGATCATTTTCAGACCGCCCTTCGGTGACGTAGTCGGAAAGACCTATAGCTCTTGTGTCTGTACCAGGACTGTTGTTGCTAATGTTAGCTCTGGTGTCTGTACCAGGACTGTTGTTGCTAACATTAGCTGTGGTGTCTGTACCAGGACTGTTGTTGCTAACGTTAGCTCTGGTGTTTGTACCAAGACTATTGTTGCTAACGTTAGCTCTGGTGTCTGTACCAGGACTGTTGTAGCTAATGTTAGCTCTGGTACCTGTACCATTTTTTTTTTCAGAATTTGTCCTTCAAACCTCCCTCTGGACACGTGCGGGTTGTAGGGCTGCTCAGAAAAACTCCATCTGAGCTGAGAAAAGTGCGTCCACATGTGAGCGAGAA